ATTAAATTAAGTTCTTTACTGAAATTCACATTATAATAAGGGGGTCTTGATAAATGTTGCTACTTCGTGTTGATATGGACGAGTGGGAATATCCGTGGGTGTTTGATTACGAAAAGTTGAAAATTTCATTTATTGATGATTATTGTTATTGAATTATTTTCTTCCATCCCCATAAGGAAATGTCTTATGTTTTAAATAGGTCAAACTGAAAGAATATTTGAAACACGTATAAAAGAACATAGAAACAGTTTTCAGAATGGAACAATGAGTTCCATTGACATGATTTTAATTTGAGAATTCAGAACTCCTCATTTCTAGCAAAAAAGGTTGGAACTTAATTTCCTGGAATGTTTGGAAATTATTAATATGTCTAGAACGACCAAATTGATTTGAATAACTCTTCTGAATTTGGTTATCTTAACAAGTATTTCCATTCAATGTCAGCTCATTGTTCCTAAATATCTCTCATGTATTTCTAATACTGATTGACTTCCGCAAGGGATTATTGAAATCATCGAAGCTGAAACAGAAACGTCAAATGAACGTCATTTATTCAATGAAGTGTCAAAAATATTCCCGACAATCAGCTGTGTTATATATACTAAGCATTGCTTTCAATCAAGCGAGTACCAGGGCCGCACTTAAAAACATAACTTACATATAGTTAAGAACACTGTCAGGGATATCGAGGTCAAATATACATTTCACTCTTTACAACTTCATATTTCTGACTAAGTCAAGCGATGTTCTGTTTAAACGTTTTATGAACACCCATTCGACAGCTTTTTGTGAAGCATCAAATGAATAGTATATAGCAAAACATTAAATTTTTAAATTATCACCGGCACCAAAAAAACTATTGTCGATTTTTCGGTATCATTCAATAGTACATAGGAATCACACGTCAAAAGGTAAGACCCCGTTAGTCCTTAGCTCGCACATGTTTTGACTTCTGAGGGTTGTCGTTCGTAGGGGTGTGACAGCTGGTTAACGGAAAATACATATTTTAACATACATATGACACACAAATAGTCAACTTCACGGTATATCTATGCTTTCACTCTAGTTTGAATAGCGTATGACATAAATTCATTGCTGACAAGTACACGTGCCTTTTGATTGAAATAAACTGAATTATTATTTTCAGTATGGTCACAACAATGTTAAAACGCTAGCAGATGTCAGGCTGTATCAATGATAACTTACTAATAAAATTCATCTTGATTAAATGTTTGCTAAACCGCAACACGTGTTTCGCAGGATCCTGCTTGAGGAAGATATTGTATTGCAAAATACCTGTGTCCATCGAAATATATTTTATTAGGTAGTAAGTTTTGATATGGATATCTGCCAGGTTCATTTGATGTATCAATAATGATGAACAACTTCATTTAAATGAAATACTCATCTGAAGACATATTTCGACTTATTTTGACGTGAGTCAAATTTTTTCTCTGTCCAATATGTTATTTTTTCACATAAAGTCTTTCGACCTTCGAGTATTTCCTAAAGATCGCGACTCTTTTTGAGATTTTGACTTTTTTCGAGATCCTAATCATTCACGAAATTCAGTGTTATCAAATTTCGAGATCTACATCATCCAAAAAATGAAATTTTGGATAAAAAAACATCAAAGGGTTTTTCTATGGCTTGATACGTTAATGTGTAGCAGGTAATTACAAAAAATTAAGATAATAAACCCTGTAATTTTTTTGGTGTACAGATGAATATTCTGAATGTAATTATTGTTTAGGAATTTTTTCAGATCATCTTATGAAGTCAACTTGGTTGGTGAAATACGCATCGGGAAAACTGCGACACTTCTACGCCAAATATTTCAACTCCACATTTCACCCTTTTTATGAATGAAATACAGTCGTTCAAACGAATTTTTTTTTGAGATTCTGTTTCTGTTGTTTTTCAAATTACATGAAGCTCTTAATATCGCCACTTAAACTCATATTCTTTACTACTTTTTCTCTTTATGAGCAAGTTAATATAAGATGTAACTTTGAATTTATTTAACGTTTTGACTCTCTTATTAATGGAAAAACGTATTTTGGTCAAATTATCAACCGACTATGAAAAACAGCTTTAGATTTAATGTATTTGTTAATATTTTGCGACCAATGAAGTTTCTCTGAGATTTTTTCTGATTCTCAAGATTTAGTACAGCATCTTCATAGATACTGTATGATAATATTTATACGAAGTAAGCAAATTCTCAATTATTTCAGAATTACATTTTACATTTTTTCCAACAAAATCCCTCAATTTGAATGAATAAATCCTGAAGGAGAATCAGACAAAGTTGGTATGAATCGGTCGGTAGCCGGTCGATTTGAAGTGGGTGCTTTGTTCACTCACTCAAATCGACCGCCGTGTTGGTCGGTGGTTCAAGCCCCAGACTGAACGATCGATTTTCACTTGCTATCATCCAACCCGTGTTAGAAATCACACGTTAGAAGGTAAGACCTCGTTAGTCCTTAGCTCGCACGAATTTCGACTTCTGAAGGTTGTCGTTCGTAGGAGTGCGACAGCTGCTTAACGGAAAATATATTTTTTAACAGAAACAGATAGGTGTGCATACTTATCAACTCAATACTTGAAAAACAGATTTTAAACAGACAGATGTTCTGATGGACTATATCATAACAAGAGTAAACTGTATTGATAGGACGATCCAAGGAACAATCCAAGGTCAACCTTTTTTATTTGGAATTCATTTTACTTTCGTTAGTTGTATATTATCATCTTTTTCAAACATATTCATTGTTTGAAAACGGTTGACAATGTTACATGGTGAATTTCATCAGTTTTCACATTGTCAGAAATAATTCCACTATGATTCGAAATCTATGAAAGAACATATTAAATTAGAATGAATAGCAGAAATATCAATTATATCAACTGATAAACCTAAAATGAAAATACCTACAATAAAACGAACTAAATAATTAAGATACAAAATGAAAATTACTACAGAGTAAAAATAAATGAAAAAAAAACTGAAAATAAGCCAAAAATTAAAATAATTCAAAACCGACAAACTGTCAACCCCCGCTAAACGGTGAAGCGGTGAGAGGGAATAGGAGATATGTGAAAGCGCTCGAATGACCTATAAATAGTCATTCTTTTAAACCATGTAAAAAACCATGTAAAAATAGTATAATTAAATCAGCAAACCTATGTTGCGACTTATTGATGAATATAGATTGGACTGGTGTGACCCATCTGGACCTGTACGTTAAGGAAGTTGCGTTAATGGCCATGTTACGATTGTGCACGGCTGGTGTAAATCCCGAAGTAGGAATGGGTCAACTGAGGCTGAGCCTAAGACGAGACGCGCTTACTGCGCAACCTCTGCTGCAGGCAACCAGTGATGCAATTGAACCTAGGTTTGTGTTTAATGAACCTTAAAAAATACTAATAAAAGACAACACAGAGTCAGATGCTACAAATGCAATACGCATATATACAGACGGCTTAAAAACCAAAGAAGGCTCAGCCTAAGGATTAAGTGGAAATGGGAAAAATACCAGCGTGCAGTGATAGCAGAAAAGCCCTATTAGCCTTGAACAGACAACGTGTTACGTCAGGGCTAGTACTAGAGTGCCACCAAGACTTAGCTAAAGCATCGGTAGATAATAACATTATACTGAGGTGGGTTGAAGGGCACGACAGGAGTGAAGGTAATCGCATTGCCGACTCTTCAGCCAAGGAAGCGGCTGGACTAAGAATTTTAGGACCCAGTGGCCTGATGACTTCGACAATTGCGGAACTATATTCCATTAGTTTTAATATTTATTTCATATATACTCTGTGATAATAGCATTTCCTGTAACTGGGTACCTACTCCTGGGGAATAAATCGTTTTTTTCAACTAGCCAAATATAACACCCATGCTCAATCCCTAAAGAGATGTGATGGAATCAAAGGATGTAATCTTGCCAAGATCACCCTGGGTGACCCTCAGCTGACGAAGTATCTGGCGATGACCAGGAGAAGTCTTCGGTTAACAGTAGGATTTCTGACTGGCCACTGTCAACTAAGGAAACACCTCCATAATATAGGGCTAGGGGACACACCTCCATGCAGGATATGTAAACAGGAAGATGAAACTGTCAGGCATGTCCTATGCGAGTGTCCGGAGTTATCGTCAATAAGAGAGTGTGTGTCGGCAAGTCTTGGATGACCTAGGAGGACAACTCCTCGGGAGGATGTATAATGGGTCACATGTGGCCTAAGTGCTGTGGGTCTACACTAACCCTCCCTCCTCTACGGATACAAATATAGATTGGACAGTTTCATTACACAGTTTCGTTACACAGTACATAACAAACTTCAATTGAGCATGTAGTGAATATTGGTAGATATCAGATGTAGTAGATATTAGGTTTTTTTATTCATGTAATAACGCCTTGTGGACCTGTTTGTGTAACATATAAATAAACAAATACCTCGAAGGAATTGTCCAGTCATCACCCGAAGACGATTCTGGATATAAAAAATCGAAACGTCATGAAGTAACTTGGTTTGAAATATTTTTCAATTAATTTATTTTTTTTTGCCTATTTTTATTCTTTTTGTTTTCTTTTTAACCTTTGGTCATTTTCATTTTGTATCTTCATTATTTCATTCGCTTTATTGTCTTGTAATTTCAGGTTTTGTTGGTTAATATAATTGATATTTCAGTTATTCATTTTAATTTCATTTATTCTTTCATAGATATCGAATCATAGTGGAACCATATTAGACAATGGAAGTCCGAACTGATGAAACTGAATATTCACCATTGTTGTATCGTTAGTGAACATATCATTTTTCCATTAGTGCAAATTTACTCCCGTCTTCAATACCAAAATTGGTTTGAAAAGTATTTATTCCTCCCACAAAATATTTCAAATATTTGCTCGAGATAAAATATTATACGCAAATCATTAACATTAACACACGATTCTTTAGAATGTGTTTCCCAGGATAGGCGAAATAAAATATGATTCTGTAACGAAAATGATATTTATTACATGCTCTAAACATTCACAAAATACAACTCCTGACTCAATCTATGTAACTAAATACTAAAAAAGAAATGACTTCTATATACACAGTAATGAATTTACATAATAATTAGTCACACTAATAAAGTTGAACAATAGGGATGATATGATTATATTCAAAACTGATTTTGTTTAATAGTGAAAATACATTATTTTCTATTTTCCACGAGATACATTCGGTTTGATAACTTTATCATATTTATCAAGTTGATGTATTCGACCAACTCAATTATTCAATATCGAATACAAAAATGTGAAAAAATCTGATATACAGGAAGAAATGCCGCAGATCTATTTGAAGCCAGATTCTGAAATAACTTAAAGCTATATACAGCTGTAAGCTCTCTTTGGTTGAACATATTCGGAAACTCAAGTGTTTGGCAGAATTAGAAGTAGTCACTGGTATATGGTTTGTCTTCAGATATATACAACATTATTCTAATTTTTAACTACTGTACAATTTACAAAATTCAGAGTAGATGGGAAGATTTCACCAGAAATATAGGTTGCTTGTTCGAAAACAGTTCCACAAAATTTTTTCAAGAACTTATTGAAACGACATGTGAGTTATTATTGTCTCTTATCCTTCGGCATTTTCCCGGTAAGGGCCATGGTGGATTAAAAAAAATATGATTCAAAACCTTGAAGTGGAATCATATTATTTTTTTTTATTTTCGGTATTCCAATGCAACCAATAGGACACCACCATGTAATTCAAGAAGGATTTCTCAGTTCCCTTGAGTTTAAATCATCGATTAAATCACTCTCTAAGGCTTCATTACAATGAATAAATACTGTTATTTGTAACGAGGTAGATTCAGGAAATAAATTAACTAGTATCTTATTTAATAATTCAGTTTCAGGTCACCAGTGCCGCTAATATTGTGAGTAGCAACGCCCAACTGATTTGTACGTTCATTCCATTTCCGGCAAGAATAACGGTTGGTACAATTTCTGCTTGATCTTTGTCTATTGGTATCGTTTCTTCACCTGTATGATGCGTTCTGTTATGGTGTCTGGAATGTTTGTGGAAACAGAGCTTGTTCATATTTCTCTGGATTCCATGACAGTCGTAGTCCTCGGTACCTGCAAGAAATATTACATTACATAAATTAAGAGATCAAATCAGCGCCTAGAGGGTTATACAGAAACATATTTTAATGTAAGGCTTAATATCCACTAGTATCTTAGGTTATGTATTGAATTTTTTTAAGTTAACTTGTTTTCGAAAAATAAATAAATATTTTGCTTTTTTTTCTTTCTTTGCAATATTTCATACAATATTTCTGCATAATGAAGAAGTGGAGAGCGAAGAAAAATACTGTGTTGGGTCTTCACGAAAATAGAATACTTGTATTGCTGACCCTTTATTTGACCTACTGTTAGCCAAAATTATAAGTCGATCTTCAAAATATTCAAATCACGAATATGAATTATTGACGATTGTATACTGATTTTCGACAGCGACCGCCAAACCTCTGCAGTTTTCATTGTAAGGAAAGTAGTTGAAACCAGAATAAAAAAACAAAACAATAGTGATTCAACATCAGAAAGGCTGTTTAGACCTGCTCGAAAACATAGTAAGTAAGGAAATCAACCCTTACGAAGAAGCCAAGATGTACATGCTTACTTATACTCATGTTTGCTCTCTGAGGACAGTAGTTTTCTATCGTTCACAAGAAATTTTTTATATTCAAACGTGAATATTTTCAGGAGAAACAAAACACTCCAGCTTTCTACTTTTCCATCAATATACAAATAGAGGGAAATTCCAAATGAAGGAAGACGTGTAAGATCATGTTCAGAAGTTCATTTCAGATACGAATCACCAGAGAAAAATCCATCCGAAATAACTACTCGTATCCTATATACGCCTGCCCCCTATTCCAGCTATTGGTAACGAAATGTGATACCAGCTGGATATATACTCTCATGTGTTTGCTTGTTAGTGGTCCCAGAGTGTTAACCTGCTGAAGTCGATCTCCAACATGTACTAGCTGGAGGTAAATTAGACGCTGAATTACTTCAATACCGAAGTTGCGCCGAGCTCTGCCGTGGACGTCGTTCCCAAAGAGTTGTATCAGGAGTTGGCACATTCATCAGATAAATAAAATTCGAATACACGCATTTGTACTATCAAAGTTCTACTGGTGACAGCATTAACTAATCAAACATTTTTTTTATCGTAGGTAAGTTTGTTGATGGTTGAAATCATATACATATTTGTAACAAATTACTTTTTGACATTGATTACTATCATCTTTTCTCTGGAAGATTCCCACATTTCTTTGTATCAAGATGGAAAAGTAGAAAGCCCAATACTGTAATTTCAAATAAAATATTTCAATGAACTGTCTGTAAGAAACATGGTTTGTTTGTTTTGCGTTTGAGTTATGTTATGAATGATAACAATTTGGAACCGTTAATTAACTACAACTGATTCATTTACATAATGAGGTCTGTTTACTATTTCCATACTTTTCTTGGGTTTCATTCATATTATTATATCGATATTATAATTTCTCATAGACATGGGACATATTTTGGATTTTTTGCTCGAAGGGCTATGGACGATGTAAATTTGAGTTTATCTGCTATAATAAAAAATAATTTGATGATAATTACTACTTCTGAGCAATGACTACAACCAATTTTAAGTAATCTACTGGCATATTAATTTTTATTCATTTGTCTCATAACTATTCTTCATTTTACCTTTCACTCCTGTTATATTATCAATGAAATCAATGAAATATTGAAATACGCTTGGTTCTATAGTTCACATATATACTTGAAGAGAACTACAAATATCCTTAACAAAGTTATGTTAGGAGTAAGTTAGGTTAAGTACCCCTTCTTATGGAGTATATTTCTATTCTGAGTTTTTTGCAGAACCCAGGGGGAAAAAGTGACCTTTCTGCTTCTATCTTTGGCCAGCTAGCAGCCAACCAAATATTTATTATCTTTAAAAAAGTGGTTTTTCCATGAAGATGACTTTAAAGCAACTCTCCCCAAACTGGAACATGTATACAACTACCTGACCCGGGAAAATTTGAACAGCTTTAGAATTATTGAATGCTGTTTCGAGCTGAGTTATATTACCTTTTTTATATTATTTGTGAAGCACGAAGTCGAGCCATAATAACACGGCCAGTGTTGCTAGACAACTGTCATGCGCTCCAGTAGATTTGGTATCAGAAAAACAATAGACTGATACAAAAAATTAAAGAAAATATATTTCACGTACACACATAGTAATTTCCACTCTCAAACAAGAAGCTTAAAAGGCAAAACAGAATATCTACTGCAAGAACACTAGACATGGCAACACTGAACACGGTTCTCCTCTCGCAAGATTTCATCTTCATATGCAGGGAATTGATTCGCAATATTTCACGGTGTAATTGAATAATGGCTTCGTTGTGAAAGATTCGAACTTCATGTTCGCGGCATTATGAATAACACTGTGATGGATAATGCTGACTTTGCTTCTATTATCATATAACAAATAATCTTGGGCGCGCAAATTTTCTTTAGTATTTCTGAATGTTTCGGTTACATTTTACCATAGTTAGTTTCCTTTTTTATTACGGCCCCAATAATAGTTCGAGTTTTCCTCTATATCTCTGGAACCAGAAGAGCTGCATCCGATTTCAATGCATCATTCATTAGGACTTTGAGATGCGTAACTTTTCCACGTTCATGAGATCCTCATCTAGAATTTAACGAATTTAAATAGCCCTGTACATACTTGAATGGTTTTCTTTCAATCATTGGAAGGGGAGCGTATCCCCTTATTGCATCTTAAGTGATATTTAAGTAATTGATATCTCAACTTGATACCCTCCAAAAGTTATAACTGCAATTTCGAATTACTCACCATCACATTTACACGTCTTGAGTTTGGCCGCTTTTTCCTGTCGCCTGAGGATATTGATTGAGTTGTTACATCGCGGCGTGCATTTTTTGCCATGGAACATCGCTTTGCAGTACTGATTGTAGTACTCGAAAGCCTTGGAGCAGATAGCGTCCGCCTCGCAGATCCACTGGGCCACTCGACAAGGTACGACCGGCGAATTCATTGTTTCTAACACCAACGGCGCGCATATGTCTGTTCGGCGCTTCTGGTCTTCACAGAAGTGGTCACTGCATTGGCACTGGAAGAAAAAAAATACATAAATCACTTTATCAAAATGAAACATTTTTTGGCAATCACGGTTACGAAATTGATCATAAGAATATATAAGCTTGCACCTTCTACAAGGTCGGGCTTATAAGGGGGGGGGTAATTAACAGGTGAGAATGGAACCGCTGGCGTGATATAAATCCAAAGCAAGCACTGTTCTCAAACATATATAAATTATTTTCCCCTGAAAAGCACCCCTCCCTGAAATTCAGAAATCAACCTCCCCCCTAAATTTTGATCTGAATCCGGCATCGACCTTGTATATCAGTTGACTTCGAATGTCTTCGGAGGTAATAGGCAGAAATAATTCTTAGGATTTCGGGATTTCTTCAGTTTGTCAAGAAAGTATTTTTTCAGTACATACTTTTCAAACTCAGAATCTGAGAGGAGAGGAGGAACACTGGTGTTGAAATATTCATGAGACTGATCAAACATAAGATGATATATAAAACAGCACTGAATCAAGCAGGAAAAATCTACTGAAAATAGGGTAAATAAATCTTCACACATATTTCTTGAGTTTGTACATTTGAAATAAGTCGAGATTGCTTTCATTTTTGAAATTCTCTGAAAAGTAACTCCATTTAAGAGACGTTGAACTATAAAAAATTCTTAATAAAAACATATGATAATGAGAAATAACTCATCAATTGCCGAATGTGGAACTTTGATGACAAAATATCGAGTGCAAGGTAAAATCCAAAGGATTAAACGCAAACGTTTACTATTTTGACTTTGTAGAAGGAAACGGTGTATATAAAAGTATGTGTTTCAACGCGTACTTTATTGATGACATCTGCTGTTACCAGAAAAGCAATACTTTTTTTGAGAACAAAACACAAGCACTACAGAAAAATTCTTAGATGGCTCTTAGAGCGGTGCTTGTGCGAAAGTAGTGATTCACGTCGGATTTGAATCGCTGGAGATTGAATCCATTTGGAAAAAGTTTCTGAGAAAGTTCATTCCACATAAACGCAGATCTCCAAATGAAAGAGTTCTTGAACAGTGAAGTTTGAGGTGTACTGAGTTGAACCTTAAAACGAGCAGCCACAGTTCGTCGCGTATTTCTGATATGTACCGCTCTTGGTGGAATCAAATGTGCCAAGTCACTTGAACACTTTCCGTGAAAGTATCTATACAAGAGACAAATCTCCAACCTTTCTTCGACGTTCCAGACTATCAAGTGATGTCTGCGTCTCCAATCAGGCGAATGGCTCTTTTCTGGATGGAATCCAGCTGTTTCAGTATGCTTGGGGGCGGAGCTCCATACATGGGAACAATACTCCAAAGAAGGTCTGATCTGAGTATTATGAAGCATCAAAAGTTGTTGAGGTGTGTACAGTTTTCTGGTTCAGTACAGTGTTCCAAGCTTTTGATAAGCACAATCGTGTGGTGATTCCAGCGACATGATTGTGTCAAGACATATTGGTGTTCATTTTAACCCCCAACAAACTTATCGGAGCAGAAATCGGAATTGTCTGACCTGCTATTATTATATCCGGTTCGGAAAGATTTATCTTTATGGAGAAAACCGATGCCTGGGTTTTGATGGCATTGAATTGAACTTGGTTAAATTCACCCCAATTCGAAATTACTTCTAGATCCTCATTAAAATATTCAACCTCCCTTATTCAACCTTAGATTACTGGTCTTTTTCAGAATATCTTTGAAGTACAATAAAAAAAGGTTGAAGAATATGAATCCTTGAAGTACATCAGCAAGGTATGCGAGAGAAAACCATCGATGTCTACTTGTAAGTGAGAATCTTTAAGGAAGTTGGAGATCCAAAAACGAATTCCGATTAGTAAACTACAAAAAATAAGGTCATGGCCCTTAGAAATCAACCGCAGCATCTCGAAACATCCCGTGTTTCTCGATTGCATTATTACAAGGGTGGATAATATTTGGGTTGATTGGTAACCGATTGGTTAGTAAGTTCCACTCATATAATCACCGCTATTGTGGATGAAGATATCTGATTTTTGATGTAGGACTCAGTAGGTCAAAGCAACTGAAGCATTTGGGCTGCTCAGTGTGTTCCGTGCCTTTTGTTTGACATTTGCTATGAATCACACGTTAGAGAGCAAATCTTCGTTATCATTTCACTCTTCAGAATTTGAAGCACCACAAATAACAGAATACAATTGAGTTTTTGCTTTCTTCCTGATTTTAAATATTGTTTAGCAATAGCCATATAGCAGATCTACGGTTGTTTGGAAGATGTCTCTTGCCAGTTTTAGGTTTGGACTGATTTCCAGCAGTCTTTTAGTAAGTAGCAAAAACAGGTTATTGGTGGGACAAGTTCAAAAGCCTACAGAACAGTGGTACAATTTCATTGAAGTATTTTTCAAGCATGATGGCTTCATCAGAACCAGAAGTATGCTGATGAATCATTAGAGTTGAAACAAACTTAAAGCCAGGTGAAAGTTCAAATATAATTTCGAAACTTTCATCTAGTAAATCTGTAATGCAAAAATTTTCGCGATTACGGTTTGGTACTTACTGGGTAATTTACTCAAAACTAGGTCAGACGACCCCAATGGAGACTTTACGGTGTTTATTGAAATTCAGTTCTGGTTGTTAAATAGAGAGTATAGAAGACTGCTTATTGTAAAAACATCGCTATCGGTGAACTTGCTCATTACAAATATATTAAAGTTAATATTATGGATAATGAGATCAATAAATATGGAAATTTCAGTTCGGGGTGAATGATTCTAAAGTGACACATATAAGACTAGTTGAAAAAGTATCTTGGCCAAAAGTTTACGCTTCAAGAGGTTAGGTCTATATTTGTAAATGTTTTTTTTATTAAAATTGAGAAGTATATCACCCTAATCGAGGCACCAGTTTGAAGTGTCTTGTAAGTGTTTTGATACCGATGAAGGAAAAGAGAAATGTCTTTTTTTTTCAAGATTATTAAAAAAGTTGTACTTGCTCTGACCGAATTCTCAAAATTTTCATATATATTAAAAGTACAACAGCCCCATCAAATCCACTACCCCAAAACGAATAAATGTTGTCTAGTTTATAATCTTTTTTCTCTCTTCTTTCAGTTTTCTCATCGTGCTTCTCTCTTGCCATTGTTGTTTAGTTCATTATCCCTTTTTCAACACTATTTTCACAAATTTTCTGCTTTAGCGAATTCCATTTATAGTATTGCTTGAACGTAATTTTTTGTTTGGCTTTCGGTTATGTGATGAAAATCCGTGACACTCGATTAGGTAATTAATACTTCTTAGTGAGATTTCAACAAATCAGATTATGAAACCACAACACTTGCTTGACGAGTACCTACCAAAAGAAGCCTGGAGGAGCTAATTATGTAGTTGAACGTTTCGATTTCATACGAGTATACTCTTACGTGAAAATTTATTTCTGTATTTTTTTGTAATGTATTTTTTTTTAATCAGATCTATGAATGTGTAGTAATGACTCGATTTCTTCATTCTAATCTCTTTGGAGATGTCTTGTCGTCTTTTTACCATTATAGAAATGAAGTTGCTTCAATATTTCGCTGTGTCTACTGCAACATTCTTCTGTTTACGGAGAAAATTTTCATTAAAAACATAAACTTAACAGCCAGATTTCTAACTGACTTTGTATATAATAGCAACTATACTCCTATTAGTTGTGTCAGTGTATTGCATTTCTTGATGATGATCCACTTTTCTTATTTACCTGAATTGAATATTTCATAATGAACCGATTTGACAAATCAAACAGAACAAGAAAAGAATAGAATCCGAAAAAAAATAACTACATGTAAGTAGTGTTCCTTTTGTAATACCGGTTAGCTGTTAATTTTTTTCCAATTAGTCCTCGTCATATATAATTCATTTATTTAATTAGCATTCAACTTTGCGGCAGTTTCCGTAGTTGGTTCGCATTCCAAATGGATGTGACACGTCACCTTGTTAGGCGTGCATTCAAGAAGAAATGGCTTGATTATGCAAATTTTGAAGACCATATCATTGCCGTCCTTCCTTCTGAAGCATTACTCATTAGAGATACGACCTTCACCTAACATCTCCTATGAGGTTCTTCAACATCTCAAAGAAAACCTGTTCCCATATTTAGAAATTACCAAGGCGTAGTGAGTGACATTAGTAGTTTTTTATATGTGCAGGTTTTTCATTTGATCAATCTACAAGTAGGCACTGTTTGCACTACGGAAAATCCGCCCGATATTAAACTGAAAATGAAACACCTATCTTTTGCACATGGTGAAAAGTTTTGATGTATTTTGCTGACGTATTTGATGTTATATTATTACAGCTTTGTTTAATTATTGGAATTGATGGGTCTTGTTGAAGAGAAAAATTACGTGAGTTGACGACCAAAGAAAATATTGATCAAGGCGATATGCGGCGAAGTGATTTTTTTATGAGATAGACGAAATAATGTAATTTGCACCTCGGCGAAAAACTCTCTATTGTCTTGATATTTCCTCGGCTAACAACAACATAATGACATTATCTCAACATCATATGTATATCACAAGAATTGATATCAATAGCCCACAACAGATGTTGATGGAATGAAAGGAAACATATTATTCATTACAAACATATCAAAACTTAATGGAGAAATTTTTAATGAAACCTACATCACTTTTAACCTAATATAGCTAACATTAACTGGGGAAAAATGACCGAATTTATCAAGAATATAATATTTGTGTAACAAAATTTTCAATGAAACTGAATCCAACCTAATTTAGGCTATAATTTCTTTTAAGAACGAATCATTAGCACTACAGGAAAATCTTAATGGTACTCTTAGAGCGGTGCCTGTGTGAAAGGTGCCTGGACTTGAATTCGCTGGAAATTAAATCCATCTGGAGAAACGTTCTTAGGATGTTTATTCCACATAAACGCCGTTCTCAAACAGTGAACTATTGTTGTACTGAGTTGAACCTCAAAACGATGATGTTCGCGTCTCCAATCAGGCGGATGGCTTTTTTCTGGA